AAAGCGTATGCGAGTAAAAATATTTCTTTGATATCTGATGCGACCTCTACGGATAAAAATGAGTAGATTAAAGAAATGGGTATAAATAACCTGCAAATGCTCCACTCGAGATTTCAAAGTGATATTTGGTATCACAGGGATGGTGTTATCGCTGAACTGAAGCGTTTGGACAGGTGTATCTACAGACGAATGAGATAGAAGTCGGGGTCCGTGTGACAGACCGACGGCTAGACAAGCCTGGTCGAGTGCCAATCGGAGCTGGGAATCAACACAGACATCAATCTTACTCATGGTGACTAGACAACGGGCCGGGACTCGGGCCATACACTCAACAATAATAAGACAGAGCAAAGCGCGGCAATCAGCCTGCTTTTGAAAGGATTGTCGAGTTGGAAGAGACGTGGAAGGCGAAGTCAGGTGAAATGACCACCAATGAAGCGGAAGATGCATAAGTGATTCCATTACCTAAAACAGATGGGGAGATAAGAGCGACAGATAATAGAAAAAAATGTTGCTTTTCCGAATAAATAAAACATATTTTGCCTCTTTTTATGCAGTAAAAAAAACATTTATTCCTACCTTAGAGGAAGGACGGTACTTAAAAGATAATAAGGGCAGAAAAGAGGTTGAGGCGAAAAAATTATATAAGGAATATCATAACTTTGATACTGTAGAGCTTTATTTTTGCCCTCTAGTAGATGATGTTACTAGCCCGTTAAGAACATGGAACATAATTAGGCTAATCGGTAAATTATTTTAATAGATTCTGGTTTTATATTATAGTTTGTGAATCATTATTGGAATAAAATATGCTAAGCCCATTTAAATTCTGCATATTGCATATATTATTGCCATTCAATCAGAAGGATTAGCAGCTGTTTTGTAAGGCATAAACCTAAAATAAACGAAGGTATCAAGACCAGGATGATGTGGCCTTTTGTATGGTCGCGGTCTTCTTTCGTTGTATAGAAGTTGTTTAACCTTGGTTTCGCATCTTGATCACACCAACAGAAAGACCTAGAGGAACGCACCTTGTCCGGAGTTCATACTATGCATGATCATTTGCAGAGTCGGACCGTGAACTTGGTACATTCCCAGACGTTTCGCAGGCATCGTAGTCGACATCATCAGTGAGTCTTGTCAGTCTTAGCAACAAAGCTACAACACGTCAAATAAACAAGTGAAATCAATCCCTTGATCAATTGTCTGTCGAGACGGTTATGCTATCACTACTCGTTTTTTCCTAGTCCCTCTATCCATTTCCTATCCTCTAGTCTCGCCCCAGTCCTATCACAACTTATATGTTTATATTCCACAATATGTGCCCTTTTGGCAAATTTACCGTAGCGTCATCACCCTTGAAGTTTCCCTTGCTCCCCTCATTTTAGAGTAGTTGATCCTGTTCTAGCCTCCTGTACGGATCTGCCTCATGGGCCTGTAGACCCGTTTCTTATCTTTCTTGATGACCAATTTCATTCGGTTTCAGCCCCCAGCGTACTTTTACTCCAGGTGCTATTTCTCAAGCCTTAATTAGCACATAGAAAGTCACCCATCTTCAGAGCGCCTACGCTCTGATTTCCATGCCTGTGGATATTAGGCCTTACCTTCACACATCCTCTCATCGATTAAGCGCATGTACACTGAGCAAACTATGGACATTTA